ATCATCTTCCAGATAATATTAAAGTATTGGCATGTGACATTAAAGGTACTATGATTTCAATGTTTTAAGTTATTCATATGTAATTTTGCTGCTAGCTTATTTATATGTAAGTACTCTTGTTTTCCTTGGCATGTGGTATGAAGATTAAATGTTAAAAATAAATTAAAAGTGAAATTTTTCCAGACAGCCTTGTCTTCGTTGTAAGATGATCATATTTCTGCTGTAAGGTAGTGTTAAATTTTGTGTTTGCATGTTCCCTTTTAAAGTTATGCTAAGGTTAGAATTTTCAAGAAAGAGTCATGAGAGCTCAGTTGTTAAAAATACTGGCTACAAATTGGACAGATAATGATTATTTATCAAAGCTGAATTAGTAAATTTTCTCACCACTAAGATCTGCAGAATATTATGTCCCACAGAGGGACTGTTCTCAAGGCAATCTCTATGTGAAGCTAATGTGTCACCTACATTAGTGACATCAGCTATATATAGTTTCATTTCTGTGGTTCCTACATGCTGCCATGGCATGCTATTTCCCAAAAAATTAACTATAGTTTTTATGCATTCTTTGCAGCAAATGCATAAGTGAATACAGTGGAGATCTCTAGTGTTGGTGGGCACAGGTCTATGCTTGTAGCAAAACTTATCTCAATAAACAATACAGTGGAGATCAGTCCATCTAGTTGTTGTATGTTTAGTCTCCCAAAGTTTAATAAAAGCTCAATTATTCTTTTGAATCAGATAATGTTTTTAAATAGACTAGTCAGAATAAAAATTAATTGTACCTGACAACTCTCAACGCAGTTCTTCCCTGCCACATTTCCTTCAAGTCTTTCAGATGGTTCTTGAACATTCAGATTCACATGCAGGCAACCTTCCAAAAAGGCATTTGATGTATATGTTGTTTATACAACATCTAATAAACTTCGAGAGAGAGAGTGAGTGTGTGTTCAACCACATATTTACAATAAATTTACTACCTTCATTTTGTATTGCAGATTTTTCTTTACTCTGGGATTTTCTCTCTTGTACAATAATTGTGGCATATAAATTAGACCATAGCATAGCTGAATTGGTGAAGGACTGGGTGTCTTCACATGAGATTCATGGCACATGTAGGGGCATTGTACCTTATTTATTACATTCGATGCTTCATCTCTGATCTCTCAGTTTACTAATTAAAGGGTAAGGAAGTTTCTTATAGTTCAAAGGTACCACATATTGATCTGTATATATTATAGCCTATAAGTTTACAGCTTATTAGTTTATTTGATGTTGCTGCCTCATCAGCAAGGGATATATAGCATTATATTTGATTTTAGGTTGACAGTTCAATCATCTGGGATATAAAACATTGATTTGGTGCATGATCATTAAGTGGAAAAGATAAGAGAGGTACTGTTACAGAATCTGTGTAGAGGGACAGTGGCACCATGAAAACCCCTGGAACTGCTGGTCTCTGGGTTGAAAAGAATCCCAACTTCCAAAGCAAAGTGGAAGTGTGCAGAATTTACCAGTACAGTTGAAACCTAATGGGAAGAAAACTATTTTGTGCTGGAAAGTACAGAATTTCTTTTCTACAGATGCTTCAGTCTGTATGACTTGGTGATTCAATTCTGTGCACACTTCATAGTAGCATAGATTTATACCACCTGAAACTTGTATGTAAGCAATTACCTCAGAGATTTGTACTTGTAGTTACTGTGTTTGTAGCTCCTAACATGCATAAAAAGTAGTGCAGAAATATTGCATATATTTTCTCATATACAATTGACCTCAACTACATTACCTTGAAAAAGAAATTGGTTACTGCTTGGTGGATCATTTTTGGTTGTTGGGATAATAAATGCCAGTGAAAAAAATCTGGTCAGCAAAGCTAATTTCAACAAAATTGCCATTTCATGTTTGGGCCCCTAGTGCAAGTATGATTGTTTTCCTGCAGATACCACCTATGTAATTTGTTTAAAGAGACAGTCTCCATAAATTACTGCAGTGTAATTCAAATCGTTAAGAGCTGCTTTCAAGATCAGAATTTTATGTACGGGACCTATCCGAAGGGCCCCCATATTTTGGAGTTTAAGTATATATTCAACGGGCACTGGCCTATGACGCATACTCTTCAATACCAAATAAAATACATCCAACAATTCAGGTGCTAGTGAGGCTTGCATGCATATAGATGGCATAACAAAAACCACTATGTCCTGCAGTGGGGGGGGGCACAAAACATGTCAAGATATAACACGATTTTTTCACCATTACAGTACTTTCTCATATACAGTATGTATGTGAAAAAAGTAAAAAATTATACAAATTTTTCAGAGTGACTATCGACTACAATGTGAATTCTTTATGGTTTACCTGAACACAAACCATTTAAAGAAAGTCGTCTTCTGGGTTTAGGCACCGTGTATTCTTCGTTTCGGCCGACGAAGAATACACGGTGCCTAAACCCAGAAGACGACTTTCTTCATTGTCATCGCCGTGAAAACCTCAAAACTTACAAAGCATTTAATTCAAATTGGATTTCAGCTATGCACTGTTGTCAACTTCTGGCTTTACATTAGCCTGGTTCAACCTTAAAATCCTATCACCTTTCTGAGAGGTATTTAAGTAATCAAACTATAAACTGTATATCAAGACATAGCTCTGAGGCTGAGAACACTATGCATTTCCTTACAATATATTTGCTGAGCTACATTGAAAAGTGAATGAATTTCTGTTATTAAATTATTTACAGTATTGGACATTTCATAAGAAAATAAATTTGTTACAGATGGGTTCACTGTGGGGGGGGGGGGACACATACACCAGAATCTATTTGCTGAAACTGTCCCCACAAATCCAGAACTTTAGTAACTCCCAACTGTGTATTGGGAATGGTTATGTACCAGTCATATGAGAAAAATTAAGAGACTCAATAACAAAGTAAGAGCACCACTATTTCCTTGAATTTCTGCATGGGACATTTTGGATATACTGCAGTGTAGCCACAGATTCAGCTAGCCCCTGCTAGTGGTAACTGGGAGAAATACTATCTGACAGGTGAACTAATGAATGTCCATCACAATTTGTTTAGGTAAAAAAAAAAAAAAAGAGCAGCATGAAAATTCTATTATGCTTGGATACTTCATAACTGGATCTACTGTAGTGATGAAGAAAGTCGTCTTCTGGGTTTAGGCACCGTGTATTCTTCGTTTTGGCATAATACCTCATTTACATAGGAATTATAAAGAAATCACAGAATCATTAGCCGCAGAAACTGTTAAGCTGGTTCTATCATCACACACCTAGGAAAATGGAACTTTACAGAAAAAGCACAATTCCAAACTACAAATGACAAACATAAATGCACTTAGAAATATTTTTATTGAACAAGTTTCATGCTACATCATTTCACCCTTATATGTTTCATGTTTAGTTAGATGCAGCCTTCAGTCAGTAAAGTGACAAACACATAAATGCAGTTAAAACTATTATTATATAGCAACATCATGCTACATCATTTCAGCCTTATACAAGTCAAAGTTAATACATACAGCTTATTGTAACAGAAATAACCCTTTGCAGAACAAAATGATACACATTATTTGGTACAGAGCTTTAATATGGCTGCAAAAGGTAAACAGATATTAGACTCCTTATACAAGTCAAAGTTAATACATAATAGTACGAATAACCCTTTGCAGAACAAAATGATACACACTACTTGGTACAGAGCTTTTATATGGCTGCAAAGGGTAAACAGATATTAGCACTGAACCGTCAGTGCTTAGGATTCCATCTTCTGAGGTTCATCTGCCTTGGGGGTAGTGCCTGGCTTAATTGCTGGGGCCTGGGTCTGTGTGATTGGAATAACCTTCTCATTACCAGCCTGAGGCAGGGCCTTCTTTGGTGCAGAAATAGTAAGGACCCCATCTGATGAAAGCTGAGATACTACAGTGTCTGGATCAATATCTGCAGGAAGCTTATAGCGACGCTGGAACTGTCGAGAAATGAATCCATGCTCATCCTGTCTCTCTTCATGCTTGCCTTCTATAACCACGTAGTCATTCACAGTCTTAACTGTAAGTTCCTCAGGCTTGAACTGCTGCACATCCAGGTTCACCTATATCAAATTTAAGAAAAATGTGGATTTAGTATATTAACTCCAGTTCAGGCCATATCTTCCACCAGAAAATGGAATATGAGTGACCTATTATTCATGGAACTGGTTTTAACAATTCATACATACATATACTTCCACTGAGAATAGCAGTCAGTCTTTAAATTAACTGATGTTTTCCCCCATGAAATGCATAAACATTTATTCAGAATAATTACGTCACACAAATAAAGAATGTAACACAGCCGTGAGAAATTCTCTTTCAAACTCGAGTTAAATTTGTCTCCACTCTTAAAAAGCAAATTCTGTTATTCTACGTCAAACTAGTGTGTAGAACACACTGAAAGCGTATGTGCCCAGACAAGAAACATAATCAACATTGCAAATTTTATATATAGGATACATAGTGTAGGAATACCATACCGAATACCCACATACCATCAAACTTGTACATCACTGAAAACTTGTCTTTGGGCCTAATATATCAGGCGTATTACATAGAATTTCTGCAACAAGACCCACAATACATACACAGCCAACTCTGCACTGTCGCAGGATATCCCCTTAAAATAAAATATTTTAGTTGGCATACAGTTCCCTAACCCTACATATATTTGTCAATACCTTTTAATATACTTTTATATACTTCTAACATACCTTTAATATGTTTTAATAATATTTCAACATTTTATATATGTACACTTTTATTCTTTTATATATTTTTTTTATTCTTCATCATGTATTTGCTATTTTAACTATACACTAATCTGAGGCAAAGTTTTTATGTTGGTATTTAATACGACCTGTTGCACCGATAAGGATCCATATCGGTATTTCAGTAACTATACATATTCCTGCCTGATGGTCATGTATGACCGAAACACGTCACATTAGATAAAGATGTAAATGTAATACTGAAATATTTGTGCTGACGGTAGCATAGTTCCAACATATAATATTGTCTGTTATTACAAACTCTAAAATTTTGACCACCATGATAAAACTCCCAACTTCTTTATCAGATTAAAAGGTAGCAGCATTTATACAACACTGTGAAATGAAACATTAAACCCCTACCACTCACACACGATAACAGCCCACTGCGGGAATGTATGTGATGCCTGCATTGTTTGCTTTTCTAAATACTTTGTACTTCACAACTCTTAACATCTCATAATAAAATTATTAAACTTTTCAATATAAATTAGCATTATTTCATATCCTAAGTTATAGGGGGAACATTATAAAATTTTATGAACTCGCCCAAACTTCACACATAACCAGTATGCGCTTACCTTAAAATCATTTTTATCATCCTGAATGTGTGACACGCCACTGTGGCGGGCAGCCTGGCTGCGCCATGGTCTGTAGTAGCCCACACGAAGAGGGCCCACAAAGGAAGGGCTCAGCAGATCGTCTCTTAGCATTCCCACACCAAAATTCTGGTCAAATAAGCTTACAGGCCTTCGTATGTCATCAAGCAAGTCATTAATGAGCAATGGAACCAGAGACATCTGGAATAAAAAAAATATCCTAAATTAACAGTTGAAAAAGTTTTCACCAAGAGGAACTGGATGAAACTGATGCTAGACTTGGACTTTTCCCTCAAAAAAAAAAAACAAAAAAAAAACCAGTACCTTGCACAGACAGACATCCCGACTTTTATGTTCAAATTTTACCTTATTTCCAAAAACAAAATAACTTCACTCCATTAGTACAATCGTTTTATGGAGGCGCATACATGCATGCCTCGAGAGTGTCTTCAGCAAACTATTAGGCCACTGGCTTGCCGATGCCACTATGGGCCACATTTCAGCGGCCCCACTAGAACAGGAGATGCATCAGACGCTTCTGACTGGCGTAACGATTGCACTATAGTACTACATTCATAAAAAAAAAAAAAAAAAGTGGAAATATGAAGCAAAAAA